GCGGCAGCGCTGCCGCGCCTCCTAAGCGGCGCACTATCCAGTGCGCCACTGGGCCGGCCCGATTAAGTTTCAATGTGAATTTTGGAAAGGATGGACGCTAACATTCAAATCATAGCAGTGCCTAAAAGTGCAATTGCTGGATCATATGGTAATCCTATGCTTACCTTTTTGCAGAGCCTCCAAACCATTTTCCACAGCACCCGAACCGTTTTGCAGTCCCACCCGCAGTGTATAATGGCCCGGGTTTCTCTGCATGTTCCCTAGCATTTGCTATTTTCCATTTCCATTCTAGCCATCCTGGTGGTGGGTCATGGTCGAATGATTCTGTTTACACTTGGTGAAAGTCTGCCTCCTGCTTTGGAGAGCCCTGGGCTGGGTTTGGCCCTGGCTGTATGTCAATGTGGGGAGACCCTCACTCCCTGCCTTCTCCAGGCATATCCCAAGGCTCCCCAGACTTCGAAGGGAGGCTCTCTGCCTGGGGCATGAGCTGGCAGGCCTGCGTGGACAGCAGCTGTGGTCAGTGTTTCTGCCATTGGGGTCGACTTCAATTCTTTTCTCTCCAGTGCAAAGAAGGCCAGGATGCCCACTGGGGCGCCAGGGCTCTGGTGGTGAAGCCCTTGTTCCTGACCATCTACACTTTTTCTAATTACCTGCCTCTAGATGCACCTGCATAGTGAATGTTTATTAACAATTATTATATATTATTAATAGTTAGATTGGTTATGTAATATGGTGTGACTATCATGTTAATTGTAATAATTAATAGTGACTTTTATCAGCACCACACTCTCCCGAGTGAGACATGGGCCGGCCCTAATAGTGACTTTTAATAATCAGCCCTGTTTTCTCAAGTTCAGGCCTTGGACCAAGGCTCCCCAGGCAGTGCCCCCTCCTGCTTTCATCATTGCTACCCTGTGTCCTTTACAAATTCTCTGCAGTTTTCCCATCAGCAGAGAGGCAGATGCTCCTGTCACCCCCACGTTACAGAGCAGGGAACTGAGGCACAGTCTGGAGCGAGGTCACACCCACGTCTTGATCCCCACACTGCAGGGTGCTGTGCTGCCTCCCAGTATCAAGGGCCCCCACCCCGGGCCTCCTCCTGTGACTGTCCTCTGCCTCCTCCTGGCCAGGCCTGTGAGAAGACCCAGCTGGAGTTCATGTCGGAGCAGTGTGCCGAGACCGACAGCCAGCTGCTGCATCTCGCCCCAGGCAGCACCTCCTTCTACCGCTGGGGCGCCGCCGCAGAGTACAGCCAAGGTGGGGCCCGGAGGCCCTCGGGCAGGCAGGGTCGTTGGGGGCCAGCCCGCCGTCACTCTGGCACCGGTCAGAGTGGGGCTCAGGCTCAGGCTCAGGCATCCCACAGAACACAGGTCACTTCCTGGCTTGGCCTCCCTAGCAGATCTGGCAGTGACATCCTGTCCCTGATCCTTGGCTTTCCCATCTGTAAAGGAGAGATAATGGCAGTATCTCCCTCCCGGGTTGCTAGAAGGATTCAGGGAGATGGTGCACAGGGGTGTACACCTCGGCTCATAATTCACTATGTTAGTTATTAGATCAGAATTGCAATTATTGCCTTACAGGTAGGATGGGGAAAATAAAACCCTTGCCCCAAATGCAAAGGATGAAGCTGTGTGGGAGCTGGTAGTAGGACCCACTTGGACCAAGCTTGGCAGGGCTGGGCGAGCAGGGTCCCAGAGGGGCTTTGCAGCCAACTCACTGCCCTTCCTGTTCACCCTCTTCGCATCTGGGCCCCTCATCTGCACTGCCCTTCCAGGGGATACTCTGTGCAGACACGTGTGCCGGGCCATTGGCGAGAGCTTCATGGTGAGGCGGGGAGACAGTTTCCTGGATGGGACGCGGTGTGTGCCAAGTGGCCCTCAGGAGGATGGGACCCTGAGCCTGTGCGTGGCAGGCAGCTGCAGGGTAGGTGTGTGTAGGCGATGGAAGAGGCGCCCTTCCATCCACTGCGGCCCGAGGCCTGCCTGTCCTATCAGGGGACCTTGGGGGACAGGGCTAGGGGTGCTGGCCTGACGGATCTGCACTCCAGCCTGCAGGGGATTGGTGCTGGGGAAATAGGGCCCGACTTGGAGTCAGCCTGGATTAAGGGCCATGCTGTGACTTTGGGCAGGTCATCTCAGCTCTCTAAACTTGCTTCCTGTGTAGACATCAGGTGCTGTAGAAATGTCCCTGCCTGGTTCTGTGAATTCCAGAACCTTGGGGCTGGCAGGGCTGTAGCGTCAGGGAGGCACGCACCCTCCCATAACGCTGGCCTTCTGCCACTCCCCTTTGCACAGGCGTTTGGCTGTGATGGCAGGATGGACTCCGGGCAGGTGCGCGACGCGTGCCAGGTGTGTGGGGGAGACAACAGCACGTGCAGCCCACGGAACGGCTCTTTCACGGGTGGAAGAGCCAGAGGTAGGGGCCTCCTTCCAGCCTCTGAGAGCCCCACAGCCCAGAGCCTGGTGCCGCTCAGCCCTGGATGCCTCATCGTGGGTCTCAGCCTCTTCCCTCCACTTCGCCCCCCTCCCGTGGTACACTCAGGTTTTGGCGATGATGCTGCCGTTGGGGCTGTGGCACCTCAGTAGCAGTCGCTCACCGTAGCTGTGGAAAAAATAGGGACGTTGTGCAGTCTGCAGGCTGGCCTCTTTCCCCCTGCTCAAGAAATCCCACGGGAGGGATGCAGGTGACGGAGGGGTGTGGGAGCCTCCTTGACTTTGAGCCATTTATGGAGGAGGTCACATGATTGGCAGGCATCAGGGCCTCGATGGCCAGTGGAGGACTCAAGCCCTGCCTCTCTCTGGTATGCCCTTCTCCTGGTCAGGGCACGCCTCGTGGGTCGCTTCCCTGTCAGGACTCACTGCCACTGTGACATAGTCAGTTTCTCTCTGTCCAGCTGAGGTTGATTTCCCTCGCCTGTGACAGGACTGTGAAGCCTGTGCATCCCTCCTTCTTTGCTTCTTCCTAGAATACGTCACATTCCTGACGGTGACTCCTAACCTGACCAATGTACACATCGTCAACCACAGACCTCTCTTCACACACTTGGGTGAGTTGACTAGAGGATGCCCCCACTTTTGACACTGATGGCAAGTTTAGGGGGTCCCGGACTCCCCTCAGCTTGGTAATTCTTTAGGAAGGCTCCCAGAGCTAATGGAGAGCTGTCACACCATGGTTGCTGGGGAAGGGGGACGGGCTGGTTTTAACACTGGAAAAGATGCTGTGTGCGGCAGAGTGTCAGGGGAGCCAAGCCCCAGGCCTCTGTGTCTCAGGGATGCGCACACCATGGTTGCTGGGGAAGGGGGACGGGCTGGTTTTAACACTGGAAAAGATGCTGTGTGTGGCAGAGTGTCAGGGGAGCCAAGCCCCAGGCCTCTGTGTCTCAGGGATGCAGTGCCCTTCCAGCAGCGAAGTGTGCCATGCTCAGGAGTATGGCCCCCCAGGAAGCTCGCCCGTGTCTGAGTGCAGAATTTTTGGTGGGGCTCCATCAGTTAAATGATTGAGTGACTGCTCAATGGGTAATCTCAGTCTCCAGCTGACCCAAAGCCCTCACCCTAAATCACGGGATTGGTCTTTCTGGTGTGGCTAGCCACACCCTAAACAAAAATGCTCCTGTCGCATGTGACCTATGTTCCCTCTCAGAAGCTGGGGGCAAAGGCCAGAGAGCAAGGCCACCTTCTTCACTATCCAGTGCCACAGGAGGCCTTTATTTCCAGAGGGGGCCTACACCTGACCTTTGAATTCTTGGATGGGGGCACTTGAGCCCCAGACCTGTTGGTAGAGTTCTGTGTGTGAGTGCACTTGCTGGGGGAGCAGGTCACGGGGCTCACCAGGTTCCGAGAGGTGGCACAGAGCCACCGCCGTGGAGAAGTCTTCCAGGTCAGCATTGTGTGTGCTTTGTGGAAGGCATGCACATGGAGGGAGCGGGGGTCTCTTGATGCAGAGACCACCTGGCTGAGATGCCAGGAGGATGGCTCTGTCTGGGAGGGCTGGGGACCCTGGAGAGGAGAGCCACAGACATGGCCATGAGGATCATATTCTGTGAGCAGAAGGACCCTCCTTGTCCCAGGCCCTGTTGCCATCTAAACCCCTTCCTTAAGCCAGGACCTTGTCTGGGAGGGTTGCAGTGCTCAGCTCCCTATGCTGAAGGGCCTCACTTCCCTGCAGCAGTGAGGATCCGAGGGCGCTACATCGTGGCTGGGAAGGCGAGCATCTCTCCCAGCACCACCTACCCCTCCGTCTTGGAAGACAGCCGTGTCGAGTACAGGGTAGTCCTCACTGAGGACCGGCTGCCCCGCCTTGAGGAGATCCACATCCGAGGACCCTCCTGGGAAGACATTGAGATCCAGGTTACCAGGAGGGTCTGGGGGAGGCCAGCGGGGGCTTCCTCCACAGCTCCAGCTGTCCGGTTGTTTGTCCATCCATCCATTCGCCCACCTGCTCTTTCGTTCATTCAGTGGTGTTTTAGGGAGGACCTACTATGTGTTGGGCCCTGTGCTAGGCAACATGCAACAGTGAACTCCGTACAGGGCTTTGGGTCCCACAAATAAATATAGAAGGTGGCTGTGCCTGGTGCCCTGGGAGAAGCCCTGGAGTTCTGACAGACGGCCAGGGGTCCCCTAGGTAGGAAAGGGTGGTAGAGCTGAGGTCTGGGACGAGCAGATGCTGCCAGGCCACGTGGAGAGGGGGCCACCAGGAGGGAGGAAGGAGGCCCGCCAGCAGGGCCACCTCACTGGGATGGTGGATGGAGGAGCCGACGCTCCTGCTGTGGGGTGTGGGGAGCATTCCCAGAGCACGTGCCGGGGTCCATGGGAACCCATGTGTCCTCAGCGTGCGCTCGCCTGCGGGTGTCCCCACATGTGCTTTGCTGAGGGAGATATTTGGAGGGATGGGCAGTGATAAGTGTAGGCTGAAATGGCCCTTGAGGGGTCCAAGTCCAGTGGTCCTGCTGTCTCTGCAGTCCAGGCCAGGCAGAGCAAGCCCCCTTTCCTGCCTCCCCTCTCCTATCCCCAAACTTATGCGTGCTTGATAACTACCTGCCCGCCGCGCCGCCGTCCCACACATTTGAGAGTTCCTTGAGGCTCAGATGCTGTCCTGTGCTCTGTGCTGTCTCCAGAGCCTGGCATGGGGTCAGCGCCAGTGATAGCTTGTGAGTGAAAGAATGTAGAGATGGAGGAATGAGAGGCTTCCCTGGGGAGGGGCCGTGAGAGCGACCCTCAGGCAGCCCACGGTACAAGCCCTGAGCTCTCCGTCTGTCTGTGCGTCTCAATGCAGGTTTACAGGCGGTACGGCGAGGAGTACAGCGGCCTCACTCACCCAGACATCACCTTCACCTACTTCCAGCCTAAGCAGCTGCAGGGCTGGGCATGGGCCGCCGTGCGCGGGTCCTGCTCGGTGAGCTGTGGGGCAGGTGAGGCCCCGGGAAAGGCTCGCCTGCAGCAGCCCCGTGTGCTGAGCTCTCCGTCTGTCTGTGCGTCTCAATGCAGGTTTACAGGCGGTACGGCGAGGAGTACGGCGGCCTCACTCACCCAGACATCACCTTCACCTACTTCCAGCCTAAGCAGCTGCAGGGCTGGGCATGGGCCGCCATGCGCGGGTCCTGCTCGGTGAGCTGTGGGGCAGGTGAGGCCCTGGGAAAGGCTCGCCTGCAGCAGCCCCGTGTGCCCCCTGCACACAGGTGGCCTTGCACTCTCTCCTTCCTCCCAGGGCTGCGCTGGGTGACCTACAGCTGCCTGGACCAGGCCAGGAACGAGTGGGTGGAGGCCGCCCGGTGCCGAGGGAGCCTGCAGCCACCAGCATGGCCGGAGCCCTGTGTCCCTGCACCCTGCCCTCCGTAGTGAGTGCTGGGCTGGTCAGCCGTGGCTGCTGAGCTCTCATCCTGGCTCGGGGGTCCCATGTCGTCTGGGCTGGGCTCATGCTGTTGTTTAGTCCTGACAACAGCCTGTGGGGTGGGCTCTGTCAGTGTCCCCACTTTGCAGGTTGAGGACACTGAGACTCAGGGCAGACACAGTGACAGTGTAAGCCTAGTTGCCACCTTGTCTGGGCAGCCCGAGGCCTCTCTGAACTCAGGTATCATTGGAAGATAGAAATGGTCATTCTACCTGGCAGGGTTGTGGGGAAGACTCAGGGAGGTAATGGTAGAAAGCCTCTGCCCTAAGCCAGCCCCTAGCAGGGGCAGTTGGTAGGAGCAAACTGTTAGGGACAAGGCCATCCCTATTGGGCATGGGACTGGGGCAGCCGCCTGCCATCACTGTTATACGGGTGTGCTCAGGCTCAGGAGTCTGTCGGGTAGTTCTACAAGGCCAGCCCTCTTGGAAAGGCTGCTTGGGACACCTGGAGAGCTGGTGGGCTGGGCTGGCCGTACCTGCTTGGTGGTCAGGTACCTGCAGGAACACGGACTGGCCCAGACCAGGGGAAGCATATCAGCTAGAGTTGGCTGGACAGACTTACCTACCTCTCATCCTGTCCGCCTGAGCCAGCTTAGGGACTTAGCCAGGGGCCTGAGCTCCGCCCCTCTCCTCCTCAGCTGGGCGGCTGGAGACTTCGGCCCATGCAGCGCCTCCTGTGGGGAAGGTCTGCGGGAGAGGCTGGTGCACTGCGTGGAGGCCCAGGGCAACTTCCTGAAGATATTGCCCCCAGTCCAGTGCAGAGCGGTGGCCCAGCAGCCAGTGGCAGTGGAAGCCTGCAACTCCCAGCCCTGCCCCACCAGGCGAGCATGGGGGATGGGTGGCAGAACCTCCCTGGCAAAGCTTGTCCCTGTGCTGAGCCCCACCCCTTCTGAGTGTCCCCTCTTCTCTGGCCGGGCCCTGCCATCCTGGTTGACAGGTAGTGGTATCGGGTGGTTAAGAGTGCTGGCTTCAGAATCACCTACTGCCTGAGAGACCCTGCGCCTCTCAGTTCCCTCTGAACTTGAGAGCCCCTGCTGTGGAATGAGGATGCATGTGGAGGTGCTGGGAGGACGTGAATGTGGAGCAGCAGACGTCGCCTGGTCTTTGCTGTCATCTTTTCCACGGTGCCCACGGGCTGCTTCTCACCCCCCGTGTCCACATTGGCTGTGTTCTTGTCATTCTGTCACTAACTGGCTGGGTAACCGGGCATGTCCCTCCCCTCTCTGGGCTCCAGCTTTACTGTCTATCCGATGGGGAGGGGCTTGGCCTAGACCACCGGTGGTCCACACGTGGCTCTGGGCCCTTCCCCTCTCCTGTCCTTGGCACATAGCAGCCTCCATTCTCTTCCACTGGGGCCTGGTGCAGCCTCAGGACCCTTCTCAACACAGCACTCCAGGCAGCCGCCACCTCTGAGTGGGCTGAACTCATCTGTCCCCCTGAGCCTGCTGGTGTGATTCCCTTTGACACCTGCTATGATGCACGGAGCGTGCTGTCTGGTTGAAGGTCTGCCTTTGTCCCTGGAGGGCAAGAGGGATGGGCTCTGTCTCACTGCACCCTGGGTGCTGGGCTGAATGCCTGGCCACCAAGCAGAGAGAGCTTGTTGAGCAGAAACCTGAAGGTCTGGGGTGCATCAGTTAATCCAGCACTTCTGGGAAACAGCCCTGAGCTTTGCTTCTTTGTGGGGCTCCTCTTTGGTCTCTTGGATATCAGGGAGCAGATTCACTGCCTTCCTGCTCCCAGGAGCTGGGCTGCACTTGCAGGTGGTGGCAGGGGCAGGGCCTGATGACTGTTCTGTGCCATCCTCAGCTGTGAGGTGACAGACGCCGGCCCATGCACGTCGGCCTGTGGAGCAGGCCTGGCCTCGCAGAACGTGACGTGTGTGGAGGGGGGCTTGGAGGCTCCAGCAACTTCAGGGCCCTGCCCCACAGACGAGGAGTCGCCTGTTCTCGAGCCTTATGTCAGGACAGCATGTCCTCCAGCCCATGTGAGTGCTCTGGAGTCCTTACCTGGCTGGAAGGGTGAGGAGCACTGGTTACCCTTGTCCTCCAGGCCAGAGGGAGAGTACCGTCCTGCAGGGATACCCCTGGTAGACAGTGAACTTAGAAGCAAAGTTAAGGGGCCTCTTGGGAGCTCCCCTGACCTCACCTTGCATGCCAGGCTGGGAGGATCCAGACCCTGTTAGAAGCTTCTGAGGAGGAGTTTAATTCAGTTGCTCCATAGAGAAACACCGCTCCCACCTGGCATCTAGAGGCTTGAGGCTGAGTGGCTTTGCTCTCAGGCTGGGGTACTCGCCGACCCCCACTCCTCATGGCTGGGGGAATTGCAGGGCTTGGTGTGCTTGTAAATCCCACTCCTGACTACCTGCTCACAGCCCCACCTGCAGGGAGCATTCACGCTGATAAGGAGCCAGCAGAGGCCAAGAGGGGCGTGTGGGGAGGGTATCTGCGGGAGACCAGAAGCAAGTCTCCCCAAAGGAGCAACAAGGAGGGAGTCCTGGTGTGCCCAGGTCACTCCTGCTCTCTCCCGAAAAGATTCGGATGGGCAGGGCGGGCCAGGTTCACAGAGGTCTGGAGGTGGGAATCCCGGACCCACCGTCTCCTCACTCGGTGTGCCCAGGTCACTCCTGCTCTCTCCCGAAAAGATTCGGATGGGCAGGGCGGGCCAGGTGCACAGAGGTCTGGAGGTGGGAATCCCGGACCCACCGTCTCCTCACTTTTCCCCTGCAGCTGGACCCCAAGTCTCCAGGGGAGGAGGCTCCACGTCTATCGGGCAGTGCCAGGCTGGGGGCTCGTGCTGCACACGTGTGGATGCCTGTGATGGGGCCGTGCTCTGTCTCCTGTGGGCGAGGTGAGGGCCCCCAGACGCTCCTGAGGACCAGCTCTCATGGTTACTGTCTACCTACCTGCATTTTGCCCAGCTCTTAAAAGCACCAGAGGTGGCTTCCACAAAATCCAAACTACACAGGAGCATGACATAGGTACCAGGAGAGTGGAGTGAAGTACCTGCCAGCAACTTTACCTGTGTCCACTGAGTGGCTGAAAGCTGGGAAAGGGTGGCTGTGCCAGGCAAGGTTGGCACCAAGAGTGTGCTCCTTGCTGTCCCCAGAGCCACGAGGGACCAGCCCCAAACTGACCTCCAGAGCAGGCACATAGTGTTCTTTGGTTTTCCCGAATGTTTTATTGTGGTAAAATACACATGTAAAATTTACCATCTTGACCATTTTTAACTGCACAGTTCAGAGACATTAAGGATATTCACACTGTGGTGCAGCCATCACCACCTTGTCCCCAGAACTTTTCATCTTGAAAACTGAAACCCTGTGCCCATGAAACACCAGCTCCACATTCCCTCTCCAGCCCCGTACCCGCCCCTCCACTTTCTGGCTCTATGGAAGTGACAGCTCCAGGGACCTCACAGACGTGGAACCATACAGGATCTGTCTAGCTCATTTCACTCAGCATGATGTCCTCATGGCTCATCCGCGTTGAAGCATATGTCAGAATTGCCTGCCTTTTTAAGGGTGAAAAATCCCCCATTATGGATGTGTGCTGCAGTCTGCTTGCCCCCTCGTCTGTCGGTGGCCACTTAGGCTGCGTCTGCATTTTAGCTCTTGCGCTGCTGTGAACACAGGTCTGCGAACGTGTCTTTGAGACCCTGCTTTCAAGTCTCTGTGGTGTATATGCACACCCGGAAGAGGAATTACCAAATCATATGGTAATTCTGTGTTTAAGTTTTTGAGGAACTTCCATACTGTTGCCATAGCAGCTGCGCCATCTTACATTCCCACCAGCGGTGCACAGGCGTTCCAGTTTCTCCACATCCTCGCCAAGGCTGGTTATTTTCTCTCTTTCTTTTGGATAGTGGCCATTCTACTATGCTTTTTGTTTGTTTGTTCGTTTGTTTGTTTTGTGGCTGGCTGGTATGAGGTCCAAATCCTTGACCTCGGTGTTGCAGCACCGCACTCTAACCAGCTGAGCCAACCAGCCCGCTCTTGGATAGTGACCGTCCTCATGGGTGCAAGCAGACATACAGTGCTGTTAAACTAAAACCTAACCACTTGCTCAGTAAAACTTTAGCATGCTTAGAACCGAGACCAGAAAGAGATTTCTTTTAAGGATACTCCTGAAGGAGATTTGAAGAAATCAGCCCTAACAACGTCTTTATGGTAAACACAGTGACAGATTTCCATACAGCAATCTTATAACGCCTCTCAATAAGCAAGAGCAGCTGCCATTTGTTGAGCACCTACTATGTGCAGGCACTTCATACCTCCCCTTTAAAAATCTTTATATGTGACTGCAAGGTAGACACCAGTATATGAAAAAACTGAGGCTCAGAGAGGTTGAGTCACTTGTCTAAGGTCACACAGCTGTAAGTGGCAGAGTCAGGACTCAGACCCACATGGGCCTTATCTGCTGGAGCAGTCCAGTGATCTGGGAGCTGGTGGTCCTTGCTGAGCCCACCTCTCAGGATCCCTGCTTCTCCCCTGTAGGCTTGATGGAGCTGCGTTTTGTGTGTATGGACTCTGCCCTCAGGATGTCTGTCCAGGAAGAGCTGTGTGATTTGGCAAGCAAACCTGAGCACCGACGGGAAGTCTGCCAGGCAGTCCCGTGCCCTGCCCAGTGAGTGGGTGAGGGAGGCTGTGCAGGGAAGGTGTCTGACCTCCGCCTGTGGCCTCCTACGGAGCACTGGCCTTCTTCTTGCAGGTGGGAGACCCGAGCCTTGGCGCCATGCCCAGTGACCTGCGGAGGTGGGCGGGTGCCGCTGGCTGTGCGCTGTGTGAGGCTGGACCACGGTCACCCTGTCCCCCTGCCTCACTCCAAGTGCTGGCCAGTGCCCCGGCCAGGCCCCCTTGAGGACTGCAGCCTGGAGCCCTGCCCTGCCAGGTGGGCCCCTTCACAAGGAGGCAGGCAGCTCTGGATCTGCATCCTGGCTCTGTCCTCACCTCCAGGCCCAACAGCTGGTCCTCAGTGTCCTTGCCCACAGGAGTGGGTCCTATTGGTGCCCCTGGGAGGCCGTGGGGGGTGTAATGAGATGATCCTGTGTGTAGCATGCATGGCATGGGATCTGGGCTGCCTTGAGCGCACATGGCTGGTGGTCTAGTTACTGCTTTCCACTGAGCACCTTCTGTGCCCAGGCACAGTTCTGGAGCCAGGGGACACAGCACTGGACAGGCAGATGAATGCCCCTGCCCTCCTGGAGCTGACACTGGGGGCGGGGGCAGTGGACAATAGATAAGACAGACGTGGATGTACAGTCTGATGGATGGTGTTAGGTGCACTGTACAGAACATGGCAGGAGGGGGGTTGCGAGGGCTGGCAGGGCGGGCCACAGGGGGGCGGTGTGCTGGGACTGCTAGTGCAGACAGACACCTGGCCCTCCCTGCCACCTCTTGCCCTCAGCTTTCCCTTCTATAAAGAGGCTTTGTCTGTTCTCCGTCTCCCGTGCCCAGCCTCTTGGGATGGATGTAAGGGGGATCGCCAGAGAGAACCTCTCCAGGCCCTTCCCTGCCTCCTGTCTCTTCCCTTTCGGGGGAAGTGAGGGGGAAACTTGGCCCTCTGGGTTCCCAGGGCACTGTTTGGCCACTCTGACTCTGCGTTGCCCCAGGTGGCGGTACAAGCTGGCAGCCTGCAGCGTGAGCTGTGGGGGAGGGGTTGTGCGGAGGATCCTTTATTGTGCCCGGGCCCAGGGGGAGGACAATGATGAGGAGGTCCTGCCAGACACCCAGTGCCAAGGGCTGCCCCGCCCAGAGCCCCAGGAGGCCTGCAATCTGAAGCCCTGCCCACCCAGGTGAGTCAGCTAGTGACGGGAGGGGTGGGCAGCTCCTGGTGTGTGCAGATGCCAGGCCAGGTGCCACCTGGGTAAAGTGCAGCTCAGTGGCACAGACTATGGGAGACAGGATCACCTGGCTGGCTGAGCCAGGTGTGCGAGGTGAAGTTCAAGGTTAATGTGGTCAGGGAGGTTGGTTCTAAGGGCCACAGTTGTGGAGAGGTCTGGGAGGTGGTGGAGGCAGTGTTGGGGTGTGACACCAGCTTCCCGATGGGGAGGGGGAGGAAAGGTGGTCCCAGCACAGACACAGCCTCGGCTGGGACACAGGACAGAATGCTGCTCTGTGGGGTCCAAAGAGGAGTTTGGTGGTGGGTGAATATTCACCCATCTTGTTCACATTCTTTCATGTTTTTTGGTAGATATGCATTTTTAATAAAGAAATGCTTTTCTATATCGTACAGAAACATCCAGAAAAGAACATAACAGACACCCATGTTATGCCACCCACATTTAATAGATTGCCATGTTCCCTTCATATCTGTCTCCTTAGTGTTAAAGGTATCCACCATTACAGATAAGACTTCATTTAAGTTTAACGCTTAACTCATCTGTGATTTATCTGGAGTATGCTGCAAAGCAGGAACCAAACTCACTCCTCTGAATCGTTTACCGGCAGCATCTGTTGAACGGCCCCTGGGTTCTCGCACATGCCAGAGTCTGTGTCTAGCTTTCCACCAGTTTCCGCTTTCCTCCCCAGCTCCTCCCTTCCCATGTCAAGTTCTTTTGCATTTTGTAGCTTCATGATCCACCTGGCACCCTCAGCACAGCACCCTTGATTCTGTGCTTGTGCTGAAGCCCCCTAGCTATGTGTTTTTTCACATCGCATTTAGAGATGATCTGGAGTTTTATGGGAATCACATACACACGTGAACTCTGGCTACCCCTGCAGACATGGTGTAGCCACCCCAGCCTCGCCATTGTTCTGGAACATTCCAGGGATCCTCCTCACTTAGGGCTTCTGCACTTAGCTCCCCGCTGCCTGATGTCGCCTCTGGATGTCCTCAGGCTCTGCTCAGGCCAACACTAACAGAGCAGCGAGGGTCGTCCTGAGCGGGACCCAGACAGCACAGCCACCGCTGCCTGATGTCGCCTCTGGATGTCCTCAGGCTCTGCTCAGGCCAACACTAACAGAGCAGTGAGGGTTGTCCTGAGCGGGGCCCAGACAGCACAGCCATCCCAGCCCATGACTCTGCTCTGCTGTTTTTCTTACAGCATCTGCCACCTCCTGACGGTGCCTTTTCTGTTCGCTGTTTCTCTTCCTTCTGTGGCAGTGGTTTCTCCAGGAGCAATTCCACCCCCCGGGGGACATTGGCAATACCTGGAGATATTTTAATAGTCACAACCAGGGAGAGGATGTGCTACTGGCATCTAGAGGGCAGAGGCCAGGGGTTTTACTAAACATCCTACAATGCACAGGGCAGCTCCCTCCACCCTCCTACCCCTGAAAGAATCATCCAGTCCCCAATGGCAGCAGTGCCGAGGGTGAAGGACCACACACACTCAGAGAGGTGGGGTCTTGGTTGGGTTCACTGCTGTCTCCTGGGTCTAGAACAGGACCAGGCCCATGGGAGGCGTGGGTTTGAGGGCAGTATCGCAGGGTGGTGGGGGTGGCGTGAGCGTTACAGTCAAGACCCAGGCTCCAGTGCAGGCTGCCTGGGTTCACGTCCAGGCTCTGAAAAATGCCGGCATTATTATTTATTGAATGATGACGAATTAACA